TTAAGAGCATAACATATGAAAGGTGTGAAATCCGTGTGCTCACTGAGCCATGGATTTTAAAGAGCAGTGGAAATAAAAACAAGACAAGACTTATGAGTAGGTTACTCGAGTGTCCATAAAATTAAGCCACCAACGACACAGTCATTTCAGTCATTCCATTGTTCCCTTTATAGTTTCCAAAGGCCACTTTTTTCATGAAAAGTTATGATGAAGTCATATATTTGTCACAATGCTTGGAGATAGGATGTTTAGGGTTAATCTTTCGGTTATATTTTGGGAGAGGGGTAAATCTAGCCTAACACAAAATCTGGCACTAATCTTAACTTTAATTACAATATTTTATATAGCGCCAACATATTTTGCAGTGCTGTTAAATAAATATTACAGACTCCAAAAATCCAAATCCAACCTGTGAATGTTGGAGTGTTGGATATTTTTTCCTAGTCAGCTCTTGTCCAAATATTGTCATTCAGGTTTTGAATTTTATTTACATTCAGACTGTAGTAGGTCTATGAGTCTATGAATAAGTGAACATCACGACACGAAATGCGTTGGAGAGACGATGCATGCTGGTGTGCAGTTTGGTGTTATGCCACAGCATAATGGTTGTATGTACCTTTTTTGTTTCAATTTAAAAAAATGTATTGGTTATTTGGGGTACAGAAAAGAAAAGGGGGAGGAGCAGTGGGGGAAAATCAAAAGCATAGTAGTTCAAGTACATTTTCCTGTCGTAGCGTTCTCGACTTGTTTACATATCTAGCTTTAAAGGCGTATCAGAACATTGTTATGTCTGGACCTTGGAAACATTCATGAACTTAGACTAACATGGGTCATCTATCGTTGCGAACAATAAAGTAACAACAGTATAAGCAGGTGGGCAACAGTTTTGTGGGACAGCCATGTCTCCTATAAGTGCCGTCTCGAGTGTCAGGATTCCTGTGGCATCTACATATGTTGTCTGTTAGTCCTTGGCCAACCCTTAGGGTCCCTAGGCTCGCTGCTTCCCTACTTTTGTGTTCACCTAGGTTGTATGTACCTTTTAATAAGGATGTTTTAAATAAAATAAATAGTGTAAAAAAAATAATAATATATACTTAGATCATATATATATATATATATATATATATTAGTATATATATATATACACACATATACATACACACACGTACACTGTCTAGGTGTATTTTACTATTAATATATATATAATTATATATATATATATATTAATATCAAATTACACATAGACTGATACTGATTAAATATATATATAATTATTGTTATATATATATATTTATATATAATATAAAAAAATGTAAATACGTTAAAAAATAAAATAAAAAAAATCATTAAAAATAAATAATTAAAAAATATATAGATGTGTGTTATTTCGTTCTAACTGTATTGTGAAATTAATATATATATATATATATATATATATCAAAATACACGTAGAACGAAATAATATATATATCTATATACATAAATATATACGTATATATCACTATATATATACCAATATATAAATAAAAATATTTTTAAAAAATTATATAGATATATACATATATATACACATACGTATATATATACATATATTAATTCTACATATATATTTATGTAATATTTTTACATAATTAGGTATCTTAATTAATTACAATTAGCGGGACGTGCCTGACAACCCATGCAGAAAGTAAAGGGAATTTAATTTGCTAGCACTATATTTAACCCTATAACTTTCCAAGACACCATAAAACCTGTACATGGGGGGTACTGTTCTACTCGGGAGACTTCGCTGAACACAAATATTAGTGTTTCAAAACAGTAAAATGTATTACAATGATGATATTGCCAGTAAAATGTACGTTTTTTGCATTTTTCACGCACAAACAGCACTTACACGGACGATATTATTGCTGTGATACTTTTTACTGTTTTGAAACACAAATATTTGTGTTCAGCTAAGTCTCCCGAGTACAACAGTACCCCTCATGTACAGGTTTTATGGTGTTTTCAAAAGTTACAGCGTCAAATATAAGGCTTGCGTTTCATTTTTTTCACATTAAAATTCGCCAGATTGGTTACGTTGCCTTTGAGACCCTATGGTAGCCCAAGAATGAAAATTACCCCTATGATGGCATACCATTTGCAATAGTAGACAACCCAAGGTATTGCAAACAGGGTATGTCCAGTCTTTTTTAGTAGCCACTTAGTCACAAACACTGGGCAAAATTGGCGTTTTTTGCATTTTTCACACAAACAAATACTAACGCTAACTTTGGCCAGTGTTTGTGACCAAATGGCTACTAAAAAAGACTGGACATACCCCATTTGCAATACCTTGGGTTGTCTACTATTGCAAATGGTATGCCATTATGGGTGTAAATTTCATTCTTGGGCTACTATACAGTCTCAAAGGCAACGTAATGTGTGCTAGTGAGTGGAGCAATTTATACCATATATAAGACAGAAGAAAGAGTATATATATACAAACTGGTTTCGATTTTAAGTGTAACTTCCAGCAATAATGGTATATATGTAAAGAAAAAGGGGAAAAAAAAGCAATGATAGTGCAGATTGTATAAAAAATATATAAGCATATATACTTATAACAATTCATAAATTGTGAAGTATCACTTTAAGAAATATTTGGTGAAACCCCAATAGGAAAAAGCTGACATAAATTTATTATCTGCCACATGCAGAAAAAGCAGTACATATATACATAAAATAGAATAATAAAAAATGATGATAAAAAATAGGGTGACAAGCCCCTTACTAGATAAAGTGGTGAGTTTGACACATATATGTCAACTCACTATCAGAGTTCAATCATTAGGGTGGTAGGCTGCTCGTCCTGCATTCTTCCTGTTCGGCTGCTAGAGAATCTCCTCGTGTATTGTCTGCTGCCAGAAAACAAACGCCTCCGGACTCCGTGGTCTGTAAGCTCCTCCCCCTTTGTATGACGTCAAAGCGTTTCGCCAATCGGCTTCCTCAGGACGTGCTCAGGAAGCCGATTGGCGAAACGCTTTGACGTCATACAAAGGGGGAGGAGCTTACAGACCACGGAGTCCGGAGGCGTTTGTTTTCTGGCAGCAGACAATCTAGTAAGGGGCTTGTCACCCTATTTTTTATCATAATTTTTTATTATTCTATTTTATGTATATATGTACTGCTTTTTCTGCTTTTTAAGTATATATGCTTATATATTTTTTATACAATCTGCACTATCATTGCTTTTTTTCCCTTTTTTCTTTACATATATACCATTATTGCTGGAAGTTACACTTAAAATCGAAACCAGTTTGTATATATATATATTCTTTATTCTGTCTTATATATGGTATAAATTGCTCCACTCACTAGCACACATTACTTTCTCTTTTTGGTGGAGTTTTGGGATTACACCAGAGTGTGAAGCAATTTTGAAAACAATTTTGAAAACTATTTAGCACCCAGGTTACATCTGTTCGTATTGTATACTATTGTAATCAAAGGCAACGTAACCAATCTGGCAAATTTCAATTTCAAATGTAACGTGCTATATTTGACCCTGTAACTTCCCAAAACGCCATAAAACCTGTACATAGGGGGTACTGTTTTACACGTGAGACTTTGCTGAATACAAATATGTGTATTTTATTGCAGTAAAAGCAAACAGTATTATGACATTGACAGTTAAAATGTCATGTAGAACTAAAAAAAAAAAAAAAAATCTTATTTTCTCCCATTTTTTTCATATTAAATTATGTTTCATAGCTAAATATTTGATATTAAATTAAAGCCCTGTTTCCCCTGAATAAAATGATATATAATAAGGGTGGATGCATTTACTATGAAAGAGGTGAATTACAGACATGTAGCGCAAATGCCAGGTTTTGTTTACATTTTGTTTGTTCACAACGTGTACATTTGGCTCCGTCCTTGAGGGGTTAATAAAGCATTTAAGTTTTTGGTCCTTTATAATCCTATGAATCTTTTTTTTCTGCTTTACTTTATATTTGGTGGGATTTGCTGCAACTACAGCTGTGGAACTAGAAGCTGCATAATTTAGAATGGTGTCCAGAACTGAAATGTGACCTTGAGAGAATCGAATGGGTGTGCACACCAAATCTTCTGTTTCATTTTGCCACTTTAGTGAATAAGTCTGTATGTGTTTTAATTTCCCATTTCTGTTAACTCTGATGAATCGGCCAAATCTAGAAATGATTCCTGATAGGTTCTTGTTTATATTGGCGCTACTTTATTTTTAAGTGTTAAATGTTTGGATTATGTTTATTCCTGGGCACTTTACTGTGTTCCTTTTTGTTGTCGTTGCACGCTACCTGCTGAATGTTTGTAGAGTTCTGTGGGGATTTGTTTCTGAGTCTGAATGTCAGCGGATTGATGCTTAAATTCCCTTAGCTACTGCCCCAACTGACAGTCCCTTTTAAATGTAATATATTCCTATTCTATTTATTTCTATTTGATGAAAGTAGTACGTCAAATCCAATGTTGTTTTGTTTTGTAAAATTAATAAAATGCTTTACTTTTCCGTATAGATGAAAATTTAATTAAGAGAGAGAGTGTGTGTGTGTTTGTGTGTAGACTTGTCACCTGTGATTTTTCATTTTACCTTCAAACTTAAATTCACTCCATTAACATCTAAGAAGAAAGTTTAAAACCTACAAATTTATTTTGTGTTATTAATCTGTCTGAAATGTCCCAACTTATTTTAATGTGGTATTACTGCAGCCCTATTGGGGTATTCACTAAACAACAGCAAGCAGGTGAATGACGTTTGGATGTCTAAATCCAGATGTTTCTACCAAAAGTCTCTAAAATCCATTTAACTGTTTAGACAAAGGAACATTTGTTTATTTCAAATGAATTTGAGTCATGATCAGACTTCCATTTGGTTAGCTAATAAATTCTATATGTTATTTATATATAAGATGCCAAAATACCAGAGTATTGCAGTATGCAATGATACCTTTTTCATAGGACTAACATAATATTTCAAAGACAAGCTTTCGAGAGTTTCCTCTCTGCCTCAGGTTGAAGCAATTCTTTTTGCTTAATTATTCAGTACTGCTTCAGATCTGAGGAAGAAAGGAAACTCTCGAAAGCTTGTCTTTGAAATATTATGTTAATCCAATAAAAAAGGTATCATTGCATACTGCAATACTCTGGTATTTTGGCATCTTGTCTACTGGATTAATACGACTAATCTAATCTACACTATATATATATCCATTTTTACTGGCTCTGCCCAAAAGCAGGCCGACATGCCAGGAAACGAGTGAATGTCCGCCACCTTACTGGCATGTCAGCCATTGTGTGAATACACAACAGGCTGCCTGCTAATCATTTTAGCCGGCCCAATTCAGTGTCCTAGTGCCCTGAACTAGTGCAAGCGTGTCTTATGATGAGCCTGTACTATGATTGCCTGATGTTGCCAAAAGTGGGACACAAGGGAACTAAGTCAGGACGGTGGGACAGGACCTGACAATCAGGACTGTTTCTTCGAAATCGGGACTATTAGGAGCTATGTATTTTACCATGCAGACACCATGCAAACATCCCACACATCATACATACTCATCATAGTATAGAAGCCCGTACAGCCCCAGACACAACATATTCCTATAAAATATCCCAGTATTCCAGTCAAAGCATAGAGATCATGAAGCTTAGGAGGCAGAAGTCTACCCAGTGCTAGGTTAGCAGAGACTCTGTATGATTCCAACCCACTGTCCCACTCCTGCAGTATTCCGACAAACAAACATCCCAATTCATTTCCTGTTCTTATTCTCCAGGAGAATACTGTGAGGTTGCAGCCACAACCCTTGAAAGCTGATACTAAAAACAAGTGACTTTAAATATACAAATACCAAGTGATCCAAATAGCCGTCACCTAAGTGATAGTAAACACTTACATACACCTTTAAGCCTACATAAAAGGCTAAGAATGAATCAGAAGAGAATATGCATTTTCTTTTTATGTTTGTACTATCAAATAAAGATATTTTTTACAGTGGTTTTTTTTTTTTGCCTTATATTTAATATAGAACTCCTTATAGGGGAAAAATGCCTGAATATGATATGTTCATTGTGAGTGAAATATATTCTGCTTAGTACTGTAGTTTCTAACAATATTATATTTATAATATATTGTGGTTTATGTTACTGATTTCTGCATAGGAGATTATTGAATAATATCATTCTCTTGCTGATTAATTCTCAGCTTTGTGAGTGAAAAACCTATTGGGTATTTGCCCCCTTGCCTACATTTGCAGTCCTCCCCTGTAAGTAATTACTTAATTATTTATATAGCGCCAACATATTCCGAAGCAATGTACAAAACAAACACTAAATTCTAATTAAACATGATTGACATAACTGTAGTAGTTTGAAAAGAGGGCCCTGCTCAAACAAGCTGACAAACTAAAAAGACTATCGATATAAGTAGAGTGAATTGTGACTAAATATATTAGAATTTAATGAGATGTATCTCGCAAGAAGGCTGTTTAGATATACAGAAAATAATGATTTAAATATTAATTCAGTTTATTCAGATAAAGAAATAACCATTATAATATACTTTTGTTTACTTCTAAATTACTACTTCACTAAAATCTACTCCGTCTACGGGTATTTCTAAAAACAAATGTTCCTTTGCCGTGAACACACTTCTAATTTACAAGTAATTAGTTTGTTCGGTGCTAACCTTTCAACATTACTTAGTATTTCTGAGTCATCCATTAAAGTAGCAATTTTATGTGGGCTGACATTTACCATAAAGTATTTTGAAAGTGTGTAATTGAATGTGTACGTATAATTAAATGTGTACCTGCGATGGATCATACACCTGTCTTCTAATTTGCCAGACTCTGCAGATCCCTGGCCTTTATATATTTTTGCTTCAAATGCCTGTTACAGTAACAAGTAACAGACAGCCAATTAGTATTGGTAAGTTCATTGATATTATCACATATGCCTAGGCCACAGACGATTGCAGAAATAATTCTACAATAATCAAAAGAGAGCTAGATATTTATTTCCATCTCAGCATTATTTTCCACAGAAATCTGTATTGAGAAAATGACAGTTTGCACTATTAATAGCTTACCTGTTTATTTGCAAGCAAACCACTTCTAAGTTCACCGAGAATAGATTTAGAAAAATACACAAGCCATACATACATATGTTGCATTAAAAAAAATAAGTGGAATTAAAAAAAAAATTTTATATAGTTTTTGCAATATGTTTACTTAAATACAGTATATGTTTATGTACTCAATATAAACATAAACTTAAGATTAACTTATAATAATGCTGTATTTTTTTTATTTTATTTTTTAAACTCAATAAATGTGTGAAGCTACAAAAAAAAAAAAAAATAGGATTTTTTTTTCAATACACAGAGGGAAGACAATGCTAACAGAGTTTATTTTAGATGTCATACAGACCCATGACTAAAATACAAAGAAACAGAATATGATATGAATTCAAAGTAACTAATCCAAATGGTTAAATGAAAAGTAGTGAGTGTGAGTGGACTGTAGGGAAGGTATAGGATAATAAATGAGATGGTGAATGTGAGTGTACTGTAGAGAGGGTTTGGGATAATAAATGAGAGGTGGTGATTGTGAGTGTGCTGTAGGGAGGGTTTGGGATAATAAATGAGAGGTGGTGAGTGTGAATGTGCTGTAGACAGAGTTTAGAATAATAAATGAAAGGTGGTGAGTGTGAGTGTGCTGTTGGGAGCATTTGGGATAATAAATGAGAGATGGTGAGTGTGAGTGTGCTGTAGGGAGGGCATGGGATAATAAATGAAAGGTGGTGAGTGTGAGTGTGCTGTAGGGAGGGTATGGGATAATAAATGAAAGGTGGTAAGTGTGAGTGTGCTATAGGGAGGGCATGGGATAATAAATAAGAGGTGATGACTGTGCGGGGGGGTTGGGATAATAAATGAAAGGTGGTAAGTGTGAGTGTGCTGTAGGCATGGTTTGGGATAATAAATGAGAGGTGGTGAATGTGAGTGTGCTATAGGGAGGGTTTGGAATAATAAATGAAAGGTGGTGAGTGTGAGTGTGCTGTAGGGGGGTTGGGATAATAAATGAGAGGTGGTGAGTGTGAGTGTGCTGTAGGCAGGGTTTGGGATAGTAAATGAGAGGTGGTGAGTGTGAGTGTGCTGTAGGCAGGGTTTAGGATAATAAATAAGAGGTGGTGAGTGTGAGTGTGCTGTTGGGAGCATTTGGGATAATAAATGAGAGATGGTGAGTGTGAGAGTGCTGTAGGGAGGGCATGGGATAATAAATGAAAGGTGGTGAGTGTGAGTGTGCTGTAGGGAGGGTATGGGATAGTAAATAAGAGGTGGTGATTGTGAGTGTGATATAGGGAGGGATTGGAATAATAAATGAGAGGTGGTGAGTGTTAGTGTACTGTAGGCAGGGTTTGGGATAATAAATGAGAGGTGGTGAGTGTTAGTGTGCTGTAGGTAAGGTATGGGAGAATAAATGAGAGGTAGTGAGTGTGCTGTAGGCAGGGTTTGGGATAACAAATGAGAGGTGGTGAGTGTTAGTGTGCTATAGGGAGGGTTTGGAATAATAAATGAGAGGTAGTGAGTGTGAGTGTGCTATAGGGAGGGTTTGGGATACTAAATGAAAGGGGGTGAGTGTGAGTGTGCTGCAGGGAGGGTATGGGATAATAAATAAGAGGTGGTGAGTGTGTGTGTGCTGTAGGGAGGGTTTGGGATAATAAATGAGAGGTGGTGAGTGTGAGTGTGCTGTTGGGAGCATTTGGGATAATAAATGAGAGATGGTGAGTGTGAGAGTGCTGTAGGGAGGGCATGGGATAATAAATGAAAGGTGGTGAGTGTGAGTGTGCTGTAGGGAGGGTATGGGATAGTAAATAAGAGGTGGTGATTGTGAGTGTGCTATAGGGAGGGATTGGAATAATAAATGAGAGGTGGTGAGTGTTAGTGTACTGTAGGCAGGGTTTGGGATAATAAATGAGAGGTGGTGAGTGTTAGTGTGCTGTAGGTAAGGTATGGGAGAATAAATGAGAGGTAGTGAGTGTGCTGTAGGCAGGGTTTGGGATAATAAATGAGAGGTGGTGAGTGTTAGTGTGCTATAGGGAGGGTTTGGAATAATAAATGAGAGGTAGTGAGTGTGAGTGCTATAGGGAGGGTTTGGGATACTAAATGAAAGGGGGTGAGTGTGAGTGTGCTGCAGGGAGGGTATGGGATAATAAATAAGAGGTGGTGAGTGTGTGTGTGCTGTAGGGAGGGTTTGGGATAATAAATGAGAGGTGGTGAGTGTGAGTGTGCTATAGGGAGGGTTTGTAGTAATAAATGAAAGGTGGTGAGTGTGCTGTAGGCAGGGTTTGGGATAATAAAGGAGAGGTGGTGAGTTTTAGTGTGCTGTAGGTAAGGTATGGGATAATAAATGAAAGGTGGTGAGTGTGAGTGTGCTGTAGGGAGGGTTTGGGATACTAAATGAGAGGTGGTGAGTGTGAGTGTGCTGTAGGCAGGGTTTGGGATAATAAATGAAAGGTGGTGAGTGTGAGTGTGCTGTTGGGAGCATTTGGGATAATAAATGAGAGATGGTGAGTGTGCTGTAGGGAGGGCATGGGATAATAAATGAATGGTGGTGAGTGTGAGTGTGCTGTAGGGAGGGTATGGGATAGTAAATAAGAGGTGGTGACTGTGCGGGGGGGGGGGAGTTGGGATAATAAATGAAAGGTGGTAAAGGTGAGTGTGCTGTAGGCATGGTTTGGGATAATAAATGAGTGGTGGTGAGTGTGAGTGTGCTATAGGGAGGGTTTGGGATACTAAAAGAGAGGTGGTGAGTGTAAGTGTTCTGTAAGCAGGGTTTGGGAGAATAAATGAGAGGTAGTGAGTGTGAGTGTGCTATAGGGAGGGTTTGGGATACTAAATGAAAGAGGGTGAGTGTGAGTGTGCTGCAGAGAGGGTATGGGATAATAAATAAGAGGTGATGAGTGTGTGTGTGCTGTAGGGAGGGTTTGGGATAATAAATGAGAGGTGGTGAGTGTGAGTGTGTTGTAGAGAGGGTTTGGGATAATAAATGAGAGGTGGTGAGTGTGCTGCAGGGAGGGTTTAAGATAA